CGGAAGTAATCCCAACAATTATGAAACAAGAGATTCCTCGAAAACCAACTTTTCTTCGTATTTATTGAGGCTGCATGAATAAAAGACTGGCCAACCTGTCACTTCAGCCTGTGCAAAACGGCAGGCCTAAAGTTAAGGCTGGAAGGGAAAGTGGCCACATCGCGTAAATGACGTCGGATGTGAGTTGACGCGCCACCCGCTTTTCAGCCCTTCCCATAGACCCAGCGGCCCGAGGCATGCGCGGATCGATCGGGAATGTTTAAGGGCTAAGCGAGAGATCAGAAATTAGCGCATGAGACAGTGATTCAAACTCACCGGTACAGCCAACTTGTGGCCTCAGCGATGATTTGAGCGCGTGAGGGCCCGGCTGACCGATGCACAAGCGTGATGATTCAGGCAAAGGAGGCGGACAAAAGGGCAGGCATGCGGCAGCATCTGAAATCGCTAGTTTAAGCTGAGCTCGGTTCACTTTGGCTCGGTTCGTCCTGGTCTGGCGTGGCCTAGTGCCTTCGACTGAGTTCACCATGCATTGCCAACCGCATAATAAGGCGGGCTTAATGAGGGGAAAACTCATGACTAAATGAAACTTTATAAATAATATTCGATTTTTCTTAAGTGCATGACTGAACACGGAAGAAATGTTACAAAGAAATACCACATCCCTTATGGCATAGGGAACAATAATCTCCAATGGTGAAAGCAGCATTTAGCAGAGCTGGGATAGAGCTGTTCCCATTCATATATGAGTTACTAACGCGTATTTGGGAAATATAAACTTCAAGTCAAAGGACTTGTATTTGCCTCTAGTCAAGGCTATCAGGAAGCATATGACATTCAAATAAGTTATGTAGAAAATTGGGTTTAAAAGAATCACTTAATAGAGTGATGATGTAGGAGTACCTTTCATTTCGTATGAGGTGATGGGAAGGAATTCGGAAGTTGGTCTCACCGGAAGTTGTAGGGGGATTGCTATGGAGCTGTGACTAGATTTGTGAGAATACGTCTCTAACATTAAACCATTTAGGGATTCTGTGAAATTCAGTTTTACTACATAATGTTATCTAGCCTCGTAATTGCTTGACAATGTTTACGCAACTTGGTCATATCGGCAAGAAGACGTGGAGGAACACACCTTGTCCGGAGTCCATAGTACGCATGACAATTTCCTGAGTCGGACCGTGGAATTGGTACATTCCCAGAAGTCCCGCCGGCATCGTCAGTGA